ACGAGCCATTCTGGTTTCCTATCCCCTCACTTTGCACAAACAGAAGGTTTGAACAGAAGGCACCTGTAATATGTGTTCGCTTTTTTCTGACTTATAATCCAACACTTTAAGCTGATATTTATTTTTTACAATATTGGTTTATTATATATTATGGTAAGCAAGTCATTTTAAGGTACCCTGTGGAGCGTGCTGGTAAACTTTGCTGGTAACCATACATGGTTTCTATATGATTAAAGCTGGCGCAAATGTTGGGGGAAGCAAATGTATAGCCTTGAGGACACGAGTTATGTTAAACTTAATTTAAACTTTACTTAAAATTAAGCGAATATAATTAATAAAAAACTACAGTGCACCTTTGAGTGGGTTTAAATTATAGAGGATAGCAAACAAAGGTTCACTAACTAATTTATTAGCACACAGTTGAAGAATTATTAAAATTTAGCCTCTTCTACGACCACTGAAAGCAGCTATATTTCTTTTTGCTATGCCATAATAACACATTCATAGACTGTACATTAAAACATGGACATAGCCACACTGACTTCAAGCGCTGGGTCATGAATTCCTGTTTTAAAAGATCGATTTGAGCATTGTGACTGTTGCTATCCCGTCGTTCTGAAGTCAGAAGTGAAGAGAGGTGGAATGTTATGTTGTTAGCTAATGTTAGCTATCTTGTGGCCATTCAGACAACTGCAGGTTCTGTTACTTTTGTGTTGGCTGCATTTTCAGTCCCAAAGGTTGCTTCTTCAACAACAAGTCTGTTACAGACAGATTACAATACCAGTTTGGTAACAGCAAGCCTAATTTCTTTCAGACGGTGACGGCCTGGGCATCAGTATTATTGGGATGGGTGCAGGGGCTGACATGGGCCTGGAGAAACTGGGCATCTTTGTGAAGACTGTCACAGAAGGAGGAGCAGCACACAGGGATAGCAGGTATGTTTCTTCGTACTTTAAATATTCCTGATATGATTAAAAAAATGTACTGCAGAACTGAAACATCGCAGGTCAGAAATTAAGGGAAGTTGAACAGGCCTTTGTTTTGTAAATCAAATGTCACCTTGAGGTTACCTTAGTAGTTGTAGTGTTAGTTCCAGGAGTGGATGCCTTATTGTTCCTCTAAATTTTAAGCCTTTAAACTGTCTGCTTCAGGATCCAGGTGAACGATCTGATTGTGGAGGTAGATGGGACCAGTTTGGTGGGAGTCACCCAAAGCTTTGCCGCCTCTGTACTCAGGAACACCTCAGGAACCGTTAAGTAAGTCTCTCTGACTAACCAATTTGCTTTGAATCAGTTTTACATCACAAAACAAACCTTTTTTCTTTTTTGTAGACAAGTAGAAGTTGAAGTAGAAATGCTAGTTTGCTATCAATTTCAGTTTTACTGATATATCTCGACAATTTTATGGATTGCCAAGACATTTTGTTAAGACTTTCATAATCCTGAGAGGATCCATCGTCGTGTCTTCGGGTGTCCCCTGAATCTTCCCTTTTAGCACCATTTTAAGTTAAAAAAAACTGGTGCAGTCAAACTATGATGCACAACTTTTTGCATCAGCCTACTCTGTCTATTCTAGTACAAATGGGACCATCATTTACAAAATAGGACAGCATACGTTATTGAATACAACTTAGAACTGCAGCATATATGTACCAGAAATGTTTTATTGAGGTCATAAAAGGAAGTGCAATGTGCTATCTTTTTCTAGTGGCAGCTAATGGAGTTGCCCCCTACTGGCCATTATAAAGAAAGCAGGGGCAGGGTATTTCCTTATTGGCTTCACTTTTTTTTTGACTCATTTGCAATGTACTTGACCTGGAAGTTGGAGACACATACTTGGTACTGAGTTGAATGCATTCTGGTAATAAAGTTGCTCCCTAGCAAGATAGATCTATTCATGCATCACTATCAAAACAGTGCATTGCATGTTTTTTTTGCCCCTTAAAACCTCAGATGAGGAATATTCACAGAGTACTGGGTTATTTAATGAGTCACAAATACATATCAGCAGTAGTACAGTTTTACTGCGGTTTACGTGCATTACCACCACCTTGAATCATTAGGTCGGCGTTCTTGAATTTCCAAGTTGGAAGTGTGAAAATTCTGACTAGGAACTCAGATATTCCAACTGCAAATGTAACGCACTGAAAGCTCCTAAACATCAGACTGTTGTCAGTAAATTGACTTGCTAATGTTAGTATTTAAAGTACTTCCATACTTTTAAAGTAATATAGATTTAAAGTACATTAAACTACTTTAATTTGTGGTCTTTGTTAAATGGTCTTGTATTTTTGTAGCTACTATTTTGTGGTTTTCTAAATGCCTTAGCAGTGACCAGGATATGTGTTTTCATTGCTAGTTGCCCTGACATTAAGCATTCTTCCTGAAGGAGATGATTTCCTTTTGATATTTACCCACAGCACATTTTTTCACACAAAGCTTACTTCTACCACATCCTGCCCATTCACTTCACCAGACTTTAGATTTATATCGCCAGTCTCCCAGGGTCGTGATTATACCCTTTAGTATTGAAAAGCTCCTTTTAGAGACATTCAGTATAAAGTCCAAAGGTTCCACATCAGAGCCACTGAAAACAGTTATCAGGAACCAAAACACTTTGTATCAAAAGTATAATTTCAAAATGCCAAGGGTCTATTTGTAGCCTTTGCGCTTTGGATTTTTGGTATGGCTCACTGTTCCCGTGTGCTTCTTTTGTCATCCATGCTCATTCATAATTCAGGGTTTAGTGGTCTGCGCTGTTGGGATAATTGCTAGTGTTGTGTGACTTGTGAAGATCAGAGACCTCCATAGATAGCTCATACATTATAGATCTGCTGCAGTGATGGCGAAGGGCAATAGAGCTCCGACCTATTCATAAAACAAACGTCACGCAGACAAATAGATTGGGACAGGAAGTGTGTTTATGAGCATTTAATTACCTCTCAGTGCTGCAGAAATTGAAAGGCTACAGTGGCTGGCTTAACAACCATCTGTGGCTTTGTCATGATTCGCTGTCCTTTACCCAGTTTACCATTTGTGAGCGTCAATCAAGAGAAAATATAGTGTCTGTAATGATCTGTACAATGTGCTAAAAGAGAGGACGAATTGAGGGTTTGATTCGTGCACCCAAGAGGGTAACTATGTAGAGAAGATCTTTGTTAGAGTGTAAACAGGAAGCCATTTTCTGTTATCAGAGAGCCAGCGCATTCCAGCTACATTAATACATTATGCTATACTAACTGAAGAATGAAAACATTCACTGCCTAAAGAGCCGGTGTTTGTGCTCCTCAGTGTTCAGAACAAAGAAGAGGCCAACATGTATTATTTAGCATATACATACAGCATCACAGCATATATATATGGTTTTGTCATAGTTTTCTGTTCCTGGCTGAGGTGGAATAATATATGCCTAAATGCAGGTTTGTGATTGGACGAGAGAAGCCGGGTGAACAGAGCGAAGTGGCCCAGCTCATCCAGCAGACCTTGGAGCAAGAGCGCTGGCAGAGGGAAATGATGGAGCAGCGCTACAACCAGTACATGGATGAACAAGAGGTTAGAGGGCAATAAGATTACTGAGGTTACTAATGAAGCGTCTAAAGACAAAACACGTTGATTATCATCTCTGTAAGTCTGTGAGGAAGGGGGCACATTTCTTCCCACAGATAATCCCTCAGTTGATGTTTTCATGATGGTGGTGAAGACTGTTATCTAACACATGATTCCCCAATCCCCTGTTAGTTAAAATCAGGTGAAAGCATATGATTCACATCCTTTTTATACTCATCAGTCCATTCAGTGATCCTTCCTGCGCTCTAGGTGGTGGACTTTGTAAGCGAGCATGCCCATCAGGGTAGGAGTGTTATATCACCGGATAAAGGCGATCACTCAGAACAACTTTGAATTGATTTGTAGGGATTCCTTCCTCTTAAGTGGCCAAGTGAACCAAAACCATGCCAGGAAACTGTCTCCCCCCCACAGCGTAACAAAGCTACCACATCCCATCACTGTAGGGATCAAAGCATAAAAACTTTGCCTGCGCCTGGTTTATCATTCTTTAACTGGTGATGGAGCAACATCTGCACATGCACAGTAGAGAAGTGAGGGTGAAGTGCTTACTAATCCAGCTTCACCCCTCCCCTCTGCACAAATACAAAAAAAATGGGACATAAGATATTATTTAACCACTGCAGATGACGCACAGTCCCACACAAGCTGAGCTAACAGAGCAAAGACATCAGTAAACAGCCTCACAGTTAAGCACAAAGTGCTACCTTAAAATCCTCACTTAGCCCTCTAGGATATTGGTTTCCCTGTAGGATTAAAAAATATGTGATTATTTTTATGAACAGTGAAAAAGAAAAAGCCACACTGTGATATCCAGTGTATTATAAACATGATCAGAAAATATGCTCCGCTCAGGGTTGTGACTAAGCAGAGGGACTTTTTTGTGCCCTTTAGTTTGTCAGTGATGCCTCAGATTGTTTCGCTTTTCATTCACATACACGGAACAGGCTCAGGAACTGTCTATGGTTTCATTAGAATAACAGAGAGGAAGTTCCTCCATTCATGGACAGTAAGAAGATTAGGTGTGCAGTTGTGTAATGAAAAGTACAGGCGCCTGCTTGAGTTGTGCACCATCTAGTGTCTATTTGGCGTCACAGCACAAGAGGACGACACCATCAAGACTATTACACTCTACCTTCTTGTTTCCTTTAGCATTATGTCCAAAAATTAATTAAACAAATTTAAAGAAATATATTTGGTTTTCTCCAGGAATTGCATAAATTGAAAACCCTCCTGGAAACCAATATGTGCAAAAACTATATTTTAGCACTGGAAACATTGACAGATTCAAATTTAGCTTTCTCTGTATCACTTGAAAGAGTTTGTTTACCTGCAAAGGAGAAGGACAACAAACTTTAATCTCACTCACTCTCTAGCTATACATGCACTTTCATCTATATATATAAAATATAAGTCATAAGCTCTCCTTTTTTTTTCTTTTCTTGATTTTTGCCTATGAACGGGGTCCTAACCTTGACCATATTCCTGCAGGGTGGGGAATACGGCACAGATGAGGAAGAGGATGATGATGAGGAAGCTAGTCCACCGTATCCCACTGCGATCGAGGTGTTTGACTTGGCGGAGAACGAGGACATGTCGCCTCTGGAGACAGACCCTGAGAAGCTGGCCCATAAATACAAAGAGGTGAGCCATGAATGTCGTAATTACAACATTTCTTCTTTAATCAAAACTTTTTTCACTAATGCACCTTATATTTAGAGATGTGTTTAGAATAGTAACACTGGGATTTTTTTTATAGCTCCAAATAAAACACGCTGTCACCCAGGCTGAGATCCAGCAACTGAAAAGAAAGGTAATTTAAAGTGAATATTATCATGATATTTTATGTAATGGTTCTATTAAGAATAAGCAAAAGAGCATTTCTTATCTTTAGAGTCAGAGGAGTGTGTCCGTTTACATCATCATGTGATTGAAATGAATGAATCACGCTTTCTTCCAGCTGCACCACGCAGAGCAGGAGAAGCAGCGCTGGCGTATGGACAAGGCCCAGCTGGAGCAAACCCTGCAGGAGAACAAGGAGCGAATGGAGAAGCTGGAGGGATATTGGATGGAGGCTCAGAGCCTGTGCCAGGCAGTGGATGAGCACCTGAAGGAGACGCAGGCCCAGTATCAGGCCCTGGAGCGCAAATACAGCAAAGCCAAACGTCTGATCAAGGAGTATCAACAAAAGTAAGACCGTTTAACTACATGTACAAAAGCCTGAGAGAGTTGTGAGATCAGAGTGCCAATGCTGTTATCCTCTTCCTTTAACAGGGAGATTGAGTATCTGAAGAAGGAGACCCAGCGCTGTGCACAAGTTGGGGCTGAGGCCAACCTTCTGAAAGAGGAGTCAGGGCAACTCCAAGAACAGGTATACGAGGTGCCTCAAGGCAGTGTGTGCACATTTAATCTTCACATCTAGCATTTAATATAATATTCACACAACAACTGTGTGCTGGTAGGTTTGCAGAGCATTTTGTAAAGCGTTCAAGAGTAAACACCACTTTGCTTGATCCAGACCAAATCTGATCTTGAAACTTCTATTAATCAGAATTGCTTGTGGTTTCAAGAAAATCTTAAAATGTCTTGGGGAACTTGGAGAAAGTGTGATGAAGTTGAAAGAGTTTATGTATGTTATCATTGAGCTGCTGTGTGGTTGCATTACTAAGAAAGTGCATGTCAGCTTACGGTGTAGGATTTCAAAAAGGTTTGAAGCAGAAGTATAATGCAACGGAAAACCTTGTTGCTGATTTAGAGGTTAAGGTTGATTTTATTGCATTAAAAGACCCAACATCCCATACAGAGCTTCTCTTCGGTCTAGTTTATCCTCCTGCCTCCCTCCAGCAATTTAAAACTTGCACTAGATTCATTCATAAGCAAGACCTCCTTCTGATTTTCCAATATTGAAATGTTGATATTTTCTTGTAAAAATGGCTGTAAAAAAACTGTTTTCTACTATTAAGGGAGGAGTCTTTGTACCTTTTATAGTGCTGTCATTTAGCTTTTAATGCTGTCGTTATTTTGCTTAGAATTAAAACCGTTGACGGAAAGAAGCTTTTGCTAAAGTTTATCTGTAGTTCCTATTTTTTCCCTGCTTGTTAGTAGAAAACAGAATACATGAGTGTAAATGAGAGGGAGATGGGTGTAACAACGAAGCAGCAAGCCATAGAGATATCGTTCCTGTGTGCCTCTTGACAAAGCATGCTGAACATGGAGCTGCCAAGCAGGAGGATAAAAAGAAGATCATAGAGGAGGTTCATGGATGTAGTGAAGGAGGACATTCAGAGGGTTGGTGTGACAAAGCAGGAAGCTAAGGATAGGATGCTATGGAAGAAGATGATCTGCTGTGGAGATCAATGGACCAACTGAAAGCAGAAATGCACAGCAGAACACATCATCTCCAAAAAATACAAAAACAGTACGAGTCACATTCCAGCAGCGCTTCATTGTTTTAAGTGCATTTTCCTCTCTTCTCTTTTAGGTGGCTGATCTGGAGTGCCGAGTGGAGGAGCTGAAATCTGAACCATTATAAAAGCCTTTTCTAATAAATATAGAACTTCACCCGACAAAGGAGTGTTTTAAGTACTTGCAACGAACTGCAGGGTATCTCGTGTGTCCAACTTGAGCTTAATTTGTGGTCGCATACTGTATGTGCCCTCAGGCTTTGTATTTCACCCACTTAACCCTTTTAACCATGTTTTTCTGTTGGCATTTATGGGAAGAAGAGCAGTTTTATCATCACAAACGGACTCCGTAGATGTACTGTTCCTTTTTCATTTTCAGACTTCAGTATTTTCTCCCTTAATTTGTGATTCTTGTGAAAGCCCAGGCTGTTGCTTTTCAATTGCCAAAACAAAACAAAAATCCTTTCTTTCTTTCGCTTAGTTTTGTGACATTTTTTTCTGAGTTTGTACAGATGTGATACTGTGTGGTTTAACAATCAGTTTGGTTTGTAAAAAATTTTAATGTGCATAACATTTAACATAATATAAACTAATGAGAGTCGAGGGTCGTATATTTTGCGTGGCAAAGATGTGTAAATTGGATGGAGACCGCACTGAAGACGACAACACATGGTGCTTCACTGGATTGGAGTAATAAACGGGAACAAGTCTGACGTGTCTTTGAAACTGTACAGTATCCCAACCTTCGTAGGGGTCTCGTCACATAACCTTTAGAACCAACTGCTGCCTACCTTTCAGACGTGTTTGTGTATTTTTTACACATTAGGACTCGCGAACAAGCGACTAATCCTCTGGTTTCAACCCCTCACTTCTATCAAAAAGAAAAAAAAAATAGAAAAAAGGAAAAAAATGGACCACGGAAACAAGCCTCCACAACTGCTGTGCCACAAACAATGGATATCTCTTCCCTCCCCTTCAAATGGATGTTGTCATGGACTTGTAGAACTGGAATTAGTTAGGACTACTGATGTAAGAAACATTACTGGACTGGGAAGTTAAAGAAGCCGTTACCAGCAGCAAAGTTTTAGATTTAAGGAGCTCCTCTCTAACCAGCAGCTGCACTTGACACCGCTGTGTGTAGCACATGGAAAACACTGCCAGGTTTCTACCTGTTTCAGTTTACGCACAGTTTAAATGAAACTGAGTTTTACTTGTGTCAACTGTCATACCAGTATGTTTGTATAGTTCAGGTCAGACTGAAATATTTTAATTTTACTTAATATTTATAATATAGTCAAGTTGGAAATATGAGCTAACAAAGGACAAATAGTGACAAAAGCAATGCAAAAATTAATGTCCAATAAACAAAGTTATACTGTGTCATGTAAAAAAAACAAGAAAAGACAAAAAAAGTAGTAGATCTGACTACAAAAACAAATTTAAGACTACTTAATTGAAGAAAAAAAACAGGCATGGTTATGAGTATTTTCATAATATTAAGGCTTGTACAGTGCACATGCTTTGCATTGTATGTTTTGTGGAATAAATGGTCAACAGTGATGGTTACGTTGGTTGTTGTTTATTTTTTAGTGCAGTTTGACACTCAAAGACAAGTATTTGTTGGTGTTTTTCCTTTTTTAACTAAAAAAAAAAAAACTAAATAAAAGAATGTTAAGTACAGGACATTCAATAAGTCATCAAGTACACAAGCGGGAAAGTGCAATTTAGTTCACATTTAAGCTCCTGTATTTCATTTTAATTTAAAGTCTTCAAAAAAAATGCGATTAGACTAAATGTGCATCTTCTGATGGTGCCTCCTGAGATGATAGTTTCGGGAAAAGCTCTTCCCGCACTGAGTGCATTTGAACATTCTCTGTCCCAAGTGAAGCATCTGGTGAGCTTTGAGACTCTGCGGTCGGCTGAAGCTTTTGCTGCATTCGGGGCAGCTGTACGGTTTCACCCCCGTGTGCTTTCTCTCGTGTCTCTTCAGATCTCCCGACTGCCGAAAGCTCTCCCCGCAGTGGGTGCACAGGTAGGGCTTCTCCCCGGTGTGAGTCCTGAGATGTACGTTGAGCTGACCGACGTACGAGAAGCTTTTGCTGCAGTGAGGGCAGCTGTACGGTTTCTCGCCCGTGTGGATGCGCTGGTGCTGTTTCAGACCGTAGTGGTTTGTGAAGCCCTTTCCGCAGTCGTTACACAAGTACAAAACCTTCACTTGCCTGAAGCATGTGTGAGATTTGAAAGCTTTGGCAGTCATACAGTTCATGCCACAGTGAGGACACGTATATTCTTTTCCCCCCTCTTGTTCCTCCAGCTGATCCGTTAGGCTGTCCGACTCGCAGTGTGAAAGATACTCGACGGGATGGTGCCTTTTAATGTGTTTAATAAGATAGCTCTTCATGGTGAAAGAGAACTGACAGAAGGAGCATGGGAAGAGCTCAGACGTGCAGTGATACTTCATACAAGCGTTACTCTTCTGATGCTGTTTAAGGTTACTAGGTGTAGTGAAGACCTTACCGCAGCGATCGCAGCTGTAAGATTTGGCCTCTACATGTACCATCTGCTCGTGCCTTTTCAGGAAACCAGACTTATTAAAGGTTGCTCCACACTGGCCACATCTGTGCTGCCTCAAAGTGCATTTATGTGCTTTGAGGTCATCTGGGTTTCCATATGTTTGTTTACAGCGATTGCAGCTGAACCATTTGTATTTTTTTAACTTCCCATTTCGGACAGAAGCCGCCTCTGGTTCAGCGGAGCTCCTCGCAGGCTGAGCAGGACTGGTAGCTCTTCGTTTAGGCGCAATGAGCTTAGTTATGGCAGAAACTCTGAATCTAGCTCCAAATCTCTGAGGCCTCTGAGAGGGAGGATTCTGGATCGATTCAACACTTTCACCGTCAGGCATTACATCGTCTTCGTTATTTTCAGCTGTGCTCTCATCAGAGTGATGTTCATTTATGTGCTGCTGAAGGTCGTCCACTGAGGAAAACGCCAGTGAACATTCGCCACAGCTGAAGGGCAATATGTCGGAGTCCTCTGGATCCTCATTTGTTTTTGTTTTACTCTGTTTCTGGTGACGCTGCAGGTGTCTGGTCAGGTCATTGTACTGACCGAAGCATTTCTGACAAACAGCGCAGACGTACGGACGTATCCTCTCATGGACAGTCACCTTATGCTTTTTGAGGGATGATTCCTTTGTGAAACTCTTACCACAATCTAAACAGTTTGACTGGAGTGTTTCTGACTCACCTGCACAAGACTCAGGAGCCTCAGTTGTATCCATAGCTTCTTGTTGGGTCTCATTTTCATTAATTTTTTCAGATACAACTGAATCTCCTGCTTTTAAAAGTTCTGACTCTGACGTTACACTCTCTTTGTTGCTGAGGACTTGCTTCTGATTGGAAGCTTTTCCTACAGCCTGCTTCCTATGAACTAACTGATGTCTGATTAAGCCAGATGCCTGGCTAAAGCTTCGCCTGCAATATGGGCAGCAATAGGGGCGTTTGTTGGAGTGAACACAAAGCTTGTGCCTCCTAAGATGAGGTATTTGCTTGAATGTCTTTCCGCAATCGTCACATGTTTTAGATTCAAGAGGATCAACAGACAGTACCACCAGTGATCCTGCAGCACTGGAGGCATTATTTTCTCCATCAGCTACTTCAGCACTTTCAGGCTGCGTGTGAAAGTATTCTGTGTGTCGCTGGAGGAAGGCTTTGGTGGTGAAAGACAACTGACAGTGGGCGCACAGGAAGATCTGAGTTGTACCGGTTACAGTACTCTCTGCATTTTAGGAGAAAAAGGCGAAAACATCAACAAAAAAACAAACAAACTATAAATCAAATTTTTAAATAACACAGTCAGGAAAATTTTACATGACTATCGCTCTTACAACGATCACTTTTATGGACTATTGAGACTAGCAAAGTCAGGGTACCTGTTGCATTCAACTTCAAATACCACATCTGGGCCCAAGGATCACTAAAGTGGGCATGAAGTTTGCTGCTGGGCCACACCAAGAGCTCATCTCCAGTATTTATGGTGCGACAGCAGTGAAAGAGGATGCTACCTTTGTACTGGACTGCCAACAGATTTGCCTCATCTCTATGACGGGCATGGTTGACATACCTGTGTCAGGAGGGAGGGGAAAAAAAGCATTTTCTAATAATGTACAAGCTGTACAAACTGTGATTTATTTCATCGAATATAATTAAAAATTAATTTTGTAATTCAACAGGAAACAACAGAAAATAATTCAATACCTCATCCAGTTTGAGTATGATTCTTTGGCAGCATCAATGTAGTCATAGTCATCCTTATCTTTGTAAATCTGCAGTAAATTGGAATATTGTCACAAAATACACACAAAGAACAAAATATGCATCAAGAGGTTTAAACTTGTTTTATTGTTTGGGTTTAATACATCCCAGCTCACCTCCCATGAGAAGTCACTTGCCATGGCAATCTCCCTTGTTGTCACTTCCCCCTCAAATGGTCCAAAATGCATTCCAGGAGACACTGCAGGCCCATAATTTAGGACCCCAATCCCTGCACTGGGAATGCTAGATCTGCCTATCATCAGGCCAAAAGGCAGAGTCAGGAGGGCCCTCTGCATGACGCCCATGTTTGTTGGAAAATCGAGAATAAAAGATGGGCCATTAATGTTGTCAGGATCACTCTGGTCCTGGAAGAGAGTCAGGCACTCCTCGCAATCTATAAAAATGTAAAAACAAGGGAAAAAAATGGAAAAAAGCTCATCTGGGGTAATTTTTACTGGACATACCACAGTGACAAATTATCAGTCAAATATTGTCATTATTATTATTAAATATTAGTAAATCTTTGAATGAATGTGTATACACTGCAAATATTTGTGTAGGTTAGCTCCTCATGGGGAAGACCACTGCTAAGTCATCCATCTAACACATTCCACAGTTCAGCTCTAGTTTACAAATGACAAAAATGTGTGGCTCAGAAAGATATGTACTGATCTACAGGTGTGTCCCTATTAAAATCTAAAGAAGATATAACCAGACAGAGAGGTAAGGTTAATGGGATAGAAAACTGAAATGTGTAAGTTTAAAGACTACTGAATAAGACCATAGCAAAACACTTTGACTTTCATTTAAGCGTATTATATTTACTTAGCAATGGTCCTGGAGTTGTGGTCAGAAGTTTTGACACACTTATCACGGGCCTGAATGTCAAGTTAATTTTTGACTTTTAACATTTCTTTGAATTATTCGATTTCCAGGGTGAAATGATTGTACAGCATATATCTTTAAAAAACAAGAATTGGGCGCACAAGTTTATTTTGGATTTTCTCTAATCCACAAAGGGTTAAAAGTATACATACAGGTTCAAATAAATCCCTACCCCCATTTGGTTAAATGCCCTGTAACATGCTCTTTTGGTAGCGATGGACAGGCTTGTGACATATTTCTGGCTGGATATTAGTTGTACCTAAACTGCAATAGCAAAAGAGTAAACATGGGGTTTGCTTACAAAAGCCATCGTCACCATCTGGGTTTTCTCCCTGCCCCACAGCGTCCAGTAACTTCTGTATTGGCGTGTCTGCTGGCTCTAAAACTGGCATCACAAGAGGAACAAAGAAACTATTTTAAAGGCTATATTACAGCACTGAATGTCAACGTTATTTGTAATGTCATTATAGTGTACCTGCAGGGGGGTTGTTTTCAATGGGAATGCACTCCTCAGTTACAACCACCTCCTCGGTTGTCTCAACCCACTCCACGCTGCTGCTTCTGTCCGTCATGAGTAAAAACTGTGGATAGCTGGTGGGAATGATCAGTCTTTACGGCAGTTGCTTACACAGGATGCATGCACACTGTCAAAAACATAGTAACATGAAGCTACAGCTAGCATTAGCTAACATTATTTCAGCACGTTAAACCTCTTTAGCCTTTAACATTACAGCTATACTACTAACACAGACAAAAAAAAGGATCAGTGGCAAAGGTACTATCAAATCAGTCTCCGATAGCTAATAACGAAAATGTGGCTATCACAGCACAAAACATGGCAAATGGCATTAATGCATGTGTAGTTAATAATATATAAAGAATAGAACTTTTGTACCAAGCTGACGTTCAACGGCTATATTTCTGGAGTTGTTTCGTAACTACCGTCCAAAACACGAAAGATTAAGCTGTTAGCGCATGACGCTTCACTAGAAACCACAACTAAAGTATCCGAACCCTAAGATACGGTCCCCCGGAAGAAAATAGAGCACACTTTCAGAATAAGAGTAAACGTTTCCTTCTTTTTAAATAAAAGTGGCAACGTTTTTCAAATATGTGCTGTTCTTCTACTATCGCTTCCTTTTATCGTTTTCACATATCAGTAATAGATAAGGCGAGCATCCATAAACAAAAGTACACATAATGGTCCAAAACTCGACCAAGCTTCACGCCGATAAATTGCTTTCTATCAGCCCCGCTAACAACGGCGCCGCTGGTGTAGTGGTATCATGCAAGATTCCCATTCTTGCGACCCGGGTTCGATTCCCGGGCGGCGCACGAGTATTTTTGTTTTCCTCTGAAAGAGACTGCGCCTTAAGATTAACCATTTCATGCCCTTAACATTTGACATTAACATTTGATCCTGAGCCATATTATGGAAGTTTGAATTATAGAGGCAGCTAGGTGATCTCAGGTGACCGAACCTGGTGCGAAAGGGCACGAGTGTGTATATAGTGTGTGTATACTGTAGACTATATTAAGAGTATAAGAATACATTTTTTTAATTTTAGGTTCCCTCCTCCTTTCTGTGGTATACCCATCTGGGTTCTCTACATTTTTTACACTATTTTTTTGCGGAAAAAAACCTTTATTAATCTTTGAAGATGTATTTGACACTGTGAAAAACATTATCACAAGAGTTCAATACACTTGGACACTTTTTTGATTATGCTTATTTATTTCTGAATGTGTTTGTTTGGAAACAAACAAACAAATAAACAAAACAAATAGAGGCAGGCAGCCTTTCACACGCAAATTAAAACCACCTTAACTTAATCACCTTATCCTAATCGCATGTATGTCTTTGGATGGTGAGAAACTCCACACAAAACCACCCAGCCACCGTCACTGTACCACCCTTGATTTAATTTGAGCTAATTTTCTTTATAAAGACACTTCATTTTATTATTAAACTAAAATATTTGCATTTTACAGAGTTTTATTTCATTTCTTATTTTTTTTAAACTTTGATTTCACATTATGTTTTCCTGTTGTTTTTTATATTCAAATTTAATTGAGCTTCTTTTCATGTTTAATCAAGCCATTTCCTTTGTCATATTACAATTCATTTTACTGAATAGTTATAATTTGTTTAACCAATTTTTGTTTTGAATGCTGTAAAACGGTAATTTGCCAACGTCTGGGATAAGAAAAGTACATTTTATCCTATTATTTTACCTTATGTTTCTGAAAGGAAAACAACCAAAACAGCAGGAACAGCAATAAGAATAAGAATAAGAATAAGAATCCAACACCTCTGTAAATCAGTCCAGGACACACTAAGCATTTAAATCTTAAAGGCCCTTGGATTTAGTGCCCACCTTATGTACCTAATAAACTGTCTCGCCTACAATCCCGCGCGAGCATCCATTCAGCTGCCGACGCGCTGAACTTGTTGCATGGCAACCAGTTGAATTGTCACTGCATGTTTGTTTTCGTTGTGATGTTAAAGACGAAAAAAATGTTGCCTGGCGCGGACGTGGTGAATGTAAAGGAAACTACTGAAAGCGTCGACATGAAGTCTGTTAATGCCTCGAAGTCTTTCAGCACCAAAAAAGCGGAGGGATGCGTCAGTATGTGCGGTATATGTCCGACCTGCGTCTTTGCCTCCAATCCTCCGGGTTCCAGTCGGTGTCTGTGGAAGGTGTCGGATGAGTTCAAGAGGAGGTTCGCGCTGACGCTCCTTTTACGCTGCAGGAGCGTCCAAGTCCTCGAGAACATCCAAGGTGTGCTGCGTGGCGCGACGTCGTGGACGCTGCACACCTACGCTAGGTCAAGAAGCCCCATCACACCTCAGGAACACCCCTTACGCTTTTCCCACCAAGGTCATGATGGAAAACCCCTGGGAGTGAACGTGAAGGAAATCTGGAAGTGGTTCAGCAGCAGTCCGGACTGGGTCAAGTCAAGCTACGTTTGCCGTATTTTTTCACTGTGTGACTCCGAACTTTTACGGATGGTCGCCAACTTAACCAACGTGCTCCTGATCAGACAGAAAAGTGGATTCCTGGAGTTTAATGGTAAGATCTCAGGAGTGGGAAAGGACTTGGTTTCCACTGCACTGCAATTCCCGCTACGGACCACTAGAGGCCACCAACGACACATATACAGTTATAGAATATACACAATTATAGTAAAAGCAAATTCTTGTTCTATAAGCTTTGCGTTACAAGGGTTGTCTTCTCCCATAATGACTCCAGTGTTAGTCTCCATATAGTTATCGTTTAGCTCAGGGTTACCTTACTTAACAGAAGTCTAATCACATCGCTGCCATTTGGAGCCATTTAATAAACATTCCTCTACAAATATGCCATCTGGGCCAATTGGATGGTTGGTCCAGCTAAGGTGAAGCACTGTGGAAACAAAAGAAGACTGAGAGGGTCTGTACATGTAGAGAGGAGGGTTTTATTGGACAAAGATGTTGAATATGGAGCTGCTAGGCAGAGGAAAAGAGGAAGACCACAGAGGAGATTCATATTTGTAGTGAAGGAGGACACAGAGAGAGAGAGTTGAGATGATTTGCAGAAAAAGAAGATGATTTGATAATGCTTGAGGAAATTAAACCCATTTGCAATTTTGAGTTGAACTGTTACTAGTATTGTAATACAATAGGCAACCCCCCCCCCTCTGAGCCATCTTCTTGTATCATATACTGATTTTATTTAATTCTGTTTTTATTGATGATTTAGATTTAGTTATTGCATTTTATATGGATTTCAAATTATTGATATATTTACTTTATTAAACTGTAATTTCTATAGTATTAGATTTTACCTATTTATTTATTTTATTGTATTCAGATTAGCCCAATCCTGAAAAACTGTGTTTTATTTTATTGTGATATAACTAATTATTTTATTATGTTATATTTAATTTTGGGACACACCAACAAATTAATTTCCTAGTTTTTGGGATCTATAAGGTATGTCTTATCTTTTCAGTAAGTAACCACAATAACAATCATGACAATCAGGAGGAGTCTGAGGACCCTGCTCTAATGGTAGTGCCGGGATCCTCCAAGTCTGTGTCTGGGGTCAGCCGACACAGAGACTTCATAAGCTGCCTACCTGTTGATCTGTCCAAGAGGATATTAGGCAAGTCTTTGCATACTACTGTACTACTGCAGCCTGAATTTGTGAAGTGTGCCGATATGTCCTTAAAGTAAAAATTTCAATGTCACTTATGTCTGCATTTACTAAATATACAGTAAATGTTAAATTGAAAAGGTGCAATGCCGTATGTGTGTTTTGTAGGAATGTTAGGTGAGCATACTTTGATTCATTGCACGGCAGTTTGTCAATACTGGGAGCTACTTGCGAAGGAAACCATGGAGGAAATGAAATTCAGAAGAAATTTTCAGGGCCAAATTATTCCCATGATAGAGGTTGAGATTTTTTTTTTCACATTAAATTATATAAATATTTATAGTGGTTTTAATTAATTAAAATACTTAAAAAAAAATCAGACTTCTTTAGAATAATTTTAAAAAATCTGATCAGTGCTAATCTTTTTTTTTCTGTTACAGGGGTGCAGCAGTGTTAATTTTGTGAGTCCTACTTATGCAAACATTGTTGAAATCCCTGTACCAGTAAAGGATGACAAGGAAGAAGATATTTATTCTACTGTCCACAAGGTTTCACAGAGTCGTACCATCTACACAGTAAACATCAGCTTTTGGAATCAGCCGGAATATTCAACACAGTGATTGTGTGTTTATTTGATTGGTTCTGCAGCTCAAGCCATTTAACTCCGCTTATGCAAACATCAGAACCACAGCAGTGCAAATGGAAGAGCGAAATGTTTACTGCGGTGCATATTTTACCAAAGTGCTGCTGGACAAGTGAGTGTTGATTTCCCTGTATTTTATTTTATTATATTTTTCATAGTGCCCAAATAAACTCTGAAAACAGGAATGAGAAAACGTTTCTACTGGTACAGCTGATGTGATTCAGAGGTGTGCACTTATGTGTTTTTGCAGCGAAGATCCTTATCGGGTGTTGGACTATAGAGGAGGACTGCTGCTGGCCACCGGCTCAAAGGACCGTTTGGTGCGTCTGTTTTATGTGTCATCAGAAACAGAAGACGTGTCGGTGCTGAAAGGACACGTTGGAAGCATTCGGGCAGTGCTGCTCTGTGAGGACAGAGATCTGCTGATAACCGCGAGCTTTGACACAAGTATCAGGTGAAAAAATCATCTAATTTATGAGTAGAATTCTGTGAGTAGATAATAATTGATTATGCAGAAGATGCTGACGACAATGCATTTGCATGAATGAATCTGATTTAATTGATTGTGTTTTGAAGTTTTCCTGTCATCACACTTTCAGGTGTTGGAATTTGAAGACAGACCAGTGTGACATGGCGCTGTACGGTCACACTGGCACCGTCAACTGTCTGGATGCTGATGCTGATAAACTTGTCTCAGGAGCTAAAGACTGTGCAGTTAAAGGTAAGCGGCCACTGATCGGTATACACCATCTTTACATGAGCTCACATTTACATGAGTAAATATAACCACACGTTGTCTTTAATAGAAAAAACAAAAAACACACTTATCACATATTTTCATTTTCCTGTTGAGAAATCGTCTTTTCTAAGAAGCAATTCATATGTCTTATCTTAATCAGTGAGTTTCTTTTAGGTATTTTGGATAAACCCAAATGCAAACCAACCATTTAAGACATACCTGCACTCATATTTGTGGAGAAAAGATTATATGTCATCTAAAATACTGTCAGTGTTTCTTTTAATTATACCCATCTTCAACTGGACAATAATGCAGCATCTAAGCTGCTAGCCAGCGCTGGCATGTCACTCTCATTCTCGCTCTCCTTTACGAGTTTCCAGTGAATTTTAGTCCATTTAAATTTTTTATTTATAACATATCAAACCTTCCACGGCTGGGCTGCTGTGTACATAGCAGAGCTACTGAGACCTTAAAACAGCAGTGGATCAGCTGATCAGGGTCTGTGAGCTGCGGTTTCTTTTAAAGAACTGCTGAAAACAGTTTTTATAGGTTAGCTTTTCCTGAATCTT